TATATATTAATTATGTATTAATAATAATAATAATTAATATTATTATTAATGTAGTTTATAATTATATACAGTTATAAATTTTTTTCGATGTATTTTTTTATTCTCAGCTAATAAAAAACATTTTAAATATCTTTCAATTCTTCTTCACAAAAATTTTCAATTTCTAAATTAAATAATTTCTCATAGTAGTTTTTAATACCAGTTTTATAAAAACTGATTCACATCAGGCAATTGTCCTTTCCATCTCTTACGGATGCGTACGTACACATAACCGTAATTTACTTTTTACTTAACATAAAAAATATAATAGTGCTGCATAATCGCGTCCTTTATTGCCCACATTAATTGTTAATAAAAGGGAGAGGAAGTACTCTTGTTATATCGCGACACATAATGTGAGTAATATAGTTTGCAACTCATAACGATAATGGGGCGTTAAGACTCCATTATCACGCAACGTAAAACCCTATTAACTTAGGTCTATGCTTTCTGCTATATACGAAGCGTGACGCGAGAAATATTGTTTGCATATGCGAAATGGAGATGATTTTTTTATGTTCAATAGTCTGAAAACGGCTGAAAAGAGCGACACTCGCTCTCATTCTCCTTTCTTCTCCGCTATAGCTAACATAATACTATATATATATTTTCACTATTAAAGTATCATCGATTGATTCTCGAGCTTCAGTATCGTTTTATTAGGATTCATGTCACAGTATGTCACAGTGCAATAGATAATGTATGTAAAACTAAAGTGAAATATATTGTCAATAATACTGATCGTGCATCAAAATAACTCTTTGGCGTCTAAAAACAACAAAAAAAAGTAGGACGACTTTAAAAGAGATGGTTCGATGACGTGAGAAGAATAGCCAGGTCAACTTGATATGCAAAATAGGATAGGGATTCATAGAGAAGATGGGAAAGGGCTACTATTATGTCCAGGAGTAGACATAACAGGCTGAAGAAGACCATTAGGAATAGAAACCTACATAGAAAAGGATGCACTCTGTTTTTAAGTCCATGCGTTTTCTCTCGCTTGTGCGAAGGAGAATATAGCTGTGGTCTACTTGATGCTACAAATGCTTTGAAACATTTTTTGATTGGTTAATTAGTAAATTTTTTTTCCCGATTGGTCAGTCAAACGCTTCGAAGCATTTGTAGTGCCAATTGAATGAGTGGACCTCACCCTAAGTAGCGGCAATCACTTCGCGCGAGTGACAGAGAATGCGCAGATCTAAAAACGAAAAACATCCGTTTCTATGTGAGGTCGGGTGACATTTAATTACATACGTTGCAATTAATAACATAGGCTAAATATTAGATTTGTTTGCGTTATTTGAAATTCCCAAAATTTTTGCATTTAAAACGAAATAAATGTATTGTAAGAAATTTAGAAGAAATAAGCACAATAGAGAAGTTATCAGCGTCAGGGTTGTATGGCTCGATGGCAAGACGAAAGTCTATCAATATGGAGATCAAGTACCCTATTCTGTAACTCGTTACGACAATAACGACATCGTTGCGCGGATATTTTATGGTATAAAAAACTACACAACGATGTCGTTACTGTCTTAACGAGTTGCACAATAGGGTACCAAGCCTCGATTCGAATCCCGGAACGCCCTAATATTTTTCTCGTGTTGTTGCTTTATTTTTTACAATATATTCGAGCGTTGAAAAGAGAGAAAGCGAAGATGCCTTCATTCTTATCCAAATGTAAAAAAAATGTATTTTAAGTATAACATGTCTTTGTCGTCATTAACACTAGTGAAATGTATTTTTAGTTCTAGGCAACAAATTTATGTACCTCGATGAAATCGTTTGTTCGATAATATCTGTTTTCGCAAAAAATTGTTGTTTTTACACAATAAAGATTTATGAATAAAAAAGTGTGAATACAATAAAGCCTATAATATGATTTTTTTCATCTCCCATTATTTGATCTCGTTATTGAAGTCTCATGGTAATAGCATTATACGTGATATTTTCGAGCATACACTACCATCACGTAAACTTGATAATGAGATCGGATAATTCAAAAAATGAAAAAAACAATGTTTGAGATAATCCGGGTTCTACTGTATATTTTTGTATATAATTTTTGTATAATTTTGTATAATTTTTATTGCAATTTTTTATTGTAATTTCTTTTGAAAACTGTAAGTAGTCTTAAAAATAAAAATAAAAATGAAATTATCTGGAAATTTTTAGATGAATTTTTAGAAAAATTTATAGATTAATTAAAATAAAATAATCTTTATCTTAAAAAAAACCTAAGATAAATTTCCATCTTATCTTTATCTAGCTAATTTTAAAATTATCTATGCACAACACTAGCATTACTGCCTACTCTGTATTAGTTTTGGACCCCATTTTCTCAGACGCTTATATTTTTTATCATACAAAAAAGTTAATTATTGCAAAATTGTAAATAGTATTATAAAAGACGTTGTAATATCTGATAGAAGACACTTTCTAGTTTGTATTTAGGTTTCTAAAGTTTTATTTTTAGCTTTTGTTTAAGAAATGTCTAAAAACAAAGTCGTATATCTGTATATCAATAACTTTCCTTTATTATATTATATAAAACATCATATAGATATACATACATTTTTAAAAAAATTTATAGATTTCAATATACTTATTTTATAAAATTGTATATTTTTCGTATCAATTTTGAGTGTTACATTTTTTTAGGACTGTCAAATTTTGAACCGTCAAGTTATTAAAAATGAAATATTAATCATAAACTCACTCTATTGATTAAAATTGTGATTTTTGCGAATTAATGAGCATGAAAACATCGTTTCTCTTTGCAGAAATTATTGACTAAGGACGGGGGACAACAAAAGAACAAGATAGTGCCATGCTGCTCGCCGACGCAGCTTGCCCCGCTCCAGCTACTCTACATTGACACGAACAACACGATCACACAGAAAACATTACCGAACATGGTAGTGGAAGCTTGCGGTTGCATGTGATACCGCTGTCCCGAAGGAAGAGGGTGAGTAGAACCACTACCGTTGGTGACGCCGAGAAGACGAGAACCAACATCTCATGCCATCTTGTCCGAGACTTTTGCTCATGCTTAATCGTCGTGAAATTGAACTTGGTTGGATGCTCGCAAAATCCGTTCATCTTGAATATGAACATGAAGAAATCGATGAAAACGAAGCAACGATCGTTGCTTCGAGATAATAGGTGATTAAAGATAGGGGCACGCTATTGTCACGTCACGCGAGTTCACTTTCTATCGCGTTGCATTAATAAATAATTAATCCTTTAATGTGTGTGTGTGTGTGTAGTGATTTTTAGAACGTATCTAGGAAAATGAGATCGGATTCAATCCGATGCTCTGTTTTGATCAATTTTTATCTAATCAGTGTAAAATGGGTACAATAATTAAATAATATAAAACTTGTTTTTTTGTTTATTTATAAATGAAAAAATACAATAAGTTTATTATCCGACTTAAATAATTGCAAAACAAAAAAATAATTGCAAAACAAAAAAAACGCTTAGACTAACAAAGCCGTTGGGTGACATCTAAAGATGCCTCCACACATATGGCCAATGTATACGCCAATTTTGCACACATTCGCAAATATTGGCTTATATTCAATATAGATAATTATGTATGTCAAGTGTGTGTATGATATTTGCTAATGTGGCGAACGTTGACCATATCGTCTGGAGACGCCTTTTTAATCCCAATCCTACCATTATAGAGTTAATAAAATTATCATCGATTCGTAGAACATCTACAAGTAATTAATGCCTTTTTATATTATTCGCCAGTTTTGTCTGTATTTCATCGATATTATGTGAATCATAATTTTCTACCTTGCTACATCTTGGTGAAAATCCCAAGCTTATGTTTATTCAGCAGATGGAGATTTACTAATAAGATTTAGTAAATGGGGGGGGACCATTTTACTCCGCGGTCCGCGCGTCTTACTTCACCTTCCCCCTTAGGGTAACTCCGGCAAATACGCCGCGCTGGGATTTACGCCGCAGAAGTCAGAAAAAATAGAAGGAATGGGGGTAATTTTCCCGTAACTACTCTGTTACATGCCTTTATGTTATATTAGTATTGTATGATTTCAGCTTCGATGGGTTTCGATGGTTACACTGTTTATAAAGAGTTTCATTGATGTTATACTGTTTGAAAGCATGTTGTAAATCTGACAAATATCTGCTGATTAAACATTTTATGTTGAAAAAATTATAATGGAAACATCAACAAACAAAAGGCATTACAACTGCTCGAAACTGATTCGATTTTTCTTGAAATATGTTGTTAAGCACAAAAATCTAAAAGGCACGTATTTTTTTTATATCGGCCCAATTTGAAATTTAAGGTAAAACTAGGGATGTTTCGGTTAATTTCTAAAAGATCGATTTTCCCAAACGATAATAGCGATTTTAAATCAATTATTTTACGAAAAATTGATTTTTCTAATTAAATGAGACTGTTTTAAACCGACATCTTTAAAGAATCACTTCTTTTTTTACAAAAAGAGCTATTTCGAAGTAATCTTTTTTTTAGCAAATTGATCGGAAG